AAAATCAGACAGTGGCTATGACTATTACTAAAATTGAGGTGAAAAATATTGAGCATGATGGGCAGGGGGGGGGTCGCTTATAGAATATTCTTGTGCACATGCGTACGCATAGGGGGGAGCCAAAAAATCGTACAATTGCGTACAAAGGGGAGAGGGGGTGTTAAATATTCTGGAAATTTTTGCGTACGTACTAAATGGATTCCCCCTAACAAGGGATTGTTATGAATTTTTAGTACGCAATAAGTAGCATCTCAAATAACTTCGAACGTTAGTGTAATCATCATTGCGAGACATTGAAAAATGTATATGTCGCAGTATTAATAATAAAAAATATACGTCATATACTGGATGGTTCGATGGAATGCAATTTATCAATTTTCAGGGTAAAAATGCTATTTTGCAAGGTCTTCATTGACGTTGCCATTGTATTTGTCATACTCTCTTCTGGTTCGTGCAAAAAAGCTTTCGATCAAAAACGTCAGATTTTACGGTATCTTATACATGGGTTCTTTACAGAAATACTAACATTTTATCTTAGAGTAATAAAATTGATTTTTAGTATAGTTCTTCTACCTTTCTTTGTATGAAATCCTGTTGGTTTAACTCCACGTCCTAAACAAGGTAAACACAAGATCATTTGAAAAACAAAAACATCTATCTTCATAGTAAAGAACAGTATTACGCATTACTTGGGATTGTGAAGATATCTGAATCACTGACCATGTAGTTGCATGATAATAATTTAAAACCATTAATAATTATCAGATAGCCATGCGCCATTAAATATTTAGCCATATTAATGACAATGGGATGGCAGTATACACATGCAGGGGCGCCGGAAGGAACCCATGCAGGACAGTGGGGTCTCGAAAAAGGGTATTTTAACCTTTATTTTTCAAACAAGCCTCACGTTTTTAAATCAGTATACCGTAAGAAGCCGTCTAACTATCTTCGTTAAATTGATATCTGTTACTAGAAGATTATGAGGTGTGATATCCGCCAAAATTCATATATTCAATTATGCCATTGGAAATTGCATTTATGAAGTTCGGTTATGCTATTATGATATTCGATATTATGATATTCTAATTTCATTCGGCGTGAAACAGTCATTATTGAAATTTCATTCGGCGTGAAACAGTCATTTTTGAAATAGTCATTCGGCATAAAACAGTCATTGTTGAAATAGTCATTCGGCATGGCACTCAGAAACCAAATTTCGATTTCTTAAAAAGCTTTAATCGTATTTTGAGTTAATGGGTGAAAACTGTGTTGGGTGTTTAATTGGTGCACGAAATTCAGACAATTTGCTTCAGTTTAAGTCCTTTAACGTTCACGCAAACTTGCATTTTTTTCTAAAAAAGTAGCCTTTTGCATGCTTAATTAGGCATTTGCCTAATTTGCATACATTGCAGCAATATGCAAATTAGGTAAAGACATTAATTAAGCATGCAAAAGACTGATTTTTTTAGGAAAAAATGAATAGTTAAAGGAACTTAAACTAAAGCAAATTGTCTGAAATTTTGTACAGTAAATAAAAACCCAACACATTTTCCATCCATTAACTCAAAATACGAGTAAAGCTTTTAAATGTCGTGCGCAAGCCATTCTTAATTTGGTGGAAAATAAACACCCCCCTGGTTTACAAAATTTGAGTTCCAGCATTTTTTTTCATTATTCTACATTATGGGTACACAAGGCATCTATAGTAATAAAAACTTGACACAACGAGCTGGGTTTTTTTCAAAATTGAGAGCAATTTCAAATCTGTTCAGTTTTTTTATACACCCTGTATAGCATAACTTTTTGCTCTTTTCTTTTGCAAGGATTCGATTTACCAGGTTCATGCTTCACATGTCAGAAAATGCACTATTTTGCAGAGTTACAATAGTGTAATTTACTATTACAAGTTCCTATGTATTTGGAATGTCAAAAGGACTGTTACGTCCTTTTGACATTCCAAATACATAGGAAATGTACATATAAATGAAAATACATGACATGACAAATTTGTTGTTTTGGGGCTAAATTTTTGCTTTAGTAGTTCAATTTTTCCTTCTGTGATATATTCTGAATGCGTAATGAGCTAACTTGTGGGCCCACATATCGGAATTTCAATTAAATTATCTACTGTTTGAAACAAAAATGTCAATAAAACACGCGCATGTGCAGAACGGACTTGACAGCCTCTTTAAAGCTATTTATTTAATTTCTTTTCAGACTTACAAATAGCCCTTAGGATACCACAAAACACTATTTGAATGTTTATTAATCATGGGCGTACCGGAAGGAAAAAATTAGGGGGGCGGAAGGAAAAAATTAGGGGGGCGGAAAGAAATTTGCCCGACTTTTCGGGATTGTGCCCGACTATTACCGAAAAAATTTTTTCCGGAAAAATTATTTTGGGGACTTTAATTTGTCCCATTTATTTTTATAATAAACCAAAATTGCCCGACTGTTCATCGAATATTGCCCGACTGCCCAACAAACTGGGGGGGCTACCGACCCCCCCCCGCCCGGTACGCCTATGTTTATTAATTTAAGTTTTACCCCATTGAGCCACAATGCACCCCAGTGCGCCCTACTTATTTTTTTTACTTGTCTAACGCCAGACAATTTTACTCGTCCATGGAGAAGCTCTGCAGCTTAATGGGTTGACCAAAAAATCTGACAATGTCTCCAGTTAACCCATTGAGCCGCAATGCGCCCTACTTATTTTTTACTTGTCTAATGCCAGACGATTTTACTTGTCGACGGGGAAGCTCTGCAGCTTAATGGGTTAAACTAGTTTGTTTATGTATCACAGTATGGGTCTATATTCGTTGTCAAAACAGCGTTCTAATACCTTCGAGTGTATATGCCCAAAATTCTGATATTTTCTCATGTTGGTCCGCGATGAGGGGGGGGGGGGTTAGGGGTGAACACCATCACAGAACAAGTCCACGATCAGTGATTCAGTGGATGAAATCTATTTGTCGATGGCCCCTAATATGTGTTGTGTGTATAACCCTAAACCCTGCTGAAAGTAGAACAGATTTAGCTTTTTGCTAAATGTGGGTGGCCAGGGTGGGTTATTTACCGTCGATTGCAACTAAGTGGAAACACGTCATGAGAAAACGCGATCTAATTGGACACGAAACATAACATGTTTGGACTTTCAAACTTTACATGATTTTCCTGGAAACATTTGACGGATTACAATTATTTTTCCCGCGAAAACGCTACAAAGTTAGTTCAAACATTGCAAACAATACTGAATTTGACCACCATAAACGCAAAACTCGCAAATTTACAGTATGTTAGAACTTCACTAAGGTCTGTTTCATATGTCAAATTTAATTCAGACAAATTTAATTACGGATTTAGTGTTTGCAAGCTAATCCCCACCCAATTTGAATGTGTTTCTAAATTTGGAATGGGCTATTCCATTTAATATCCGTACCCCTCCCCCTGTCGAGGATACATGTTTTTCATAGTTATACCCCTGAAGAATTCCAAGCTCAGAACTGTTTAGCCCTGAAGAATTCCAAAATTCCAAGCTCAAAACTCTTTACCCCTGAAGAATTCCAAGCTCAAAACCTTTTACCCCTGAAGAATTCCAAAATTCCAAGCTCAAAACCCTTTACCTGGGCAGAAGAATTCCTAGCTCAAAACCCTTCATCCCTAAAGAATTCCAAGCTCAAAACCCTTTACCCCTGAAGAATTCCAAACTCAAAACACTTTACCCCTGAAGAATTCCAAGCTCAAAACACTTTACCCCTGAAGAATTCCAAGCTCAAAACCCTTTACCCCTGAAGAATTCCAGGGATCCTCGACAGGGGGGGTGGGGTACGGATATTAAATGGAATAGCCCAATATTGATAGTTGACAGTTGAAACGTAAACGGACGGGAAACTAAAGTCTAATTTGGAGTGGCCTTATTTATTAGGCCACTCCAAATTAAACTTTAGTTTCCTGTCCGGCCCTTATTTCAAATTACAAGCGGGCGGGCGGTCCACTTCCATTATCCATTATGGTGTCTGAAAGATGAAACACGGCCCATTATTTCATGAAATAGATACTCGTTTTAAATATCCATTCAGTCACGTTTCTACGCAATGTGTTAGAGTTTTGTATGCAGAAATGAAAGCCAGGATATTAACCTTATCGGTTTTGACGTTCAAAAATCAAAACTTGTAACGGAAGTGTGTAGCTCAGCAGTTCGTAGGGAAAAAATTCACGGTCTTTGATAGAAGTGTCAAGAATTTCATTTCGATTTTTACGTGTTGTATCATAAATATGTATTTCTTGAACGACAGATTATTTGAAAACTGTAGTTTTTCGTAATTGTTTGTCACAAAAGTCAAATAATGGAAACAACTTCGCAATAATGGACAAATCATGCGGCCAGTTCTAGGAGACGCGGGCGGAGGACGGGGGACTAAGGTCTAATTTGGAGTGGCTTTAAGGGGCGACGTCCATATTCAAGTTGCCACGCAAAACGTCAAATTGACGTTTTTATGACAACCCACCCACCCTTGATAACGTCAAGTGTGACGTAATGAATATTTCAAAATTAGATGGGGTTTGAACGCTCCAAGTATCAAAGTTTATAACTACTGTACTGTGCTCGTTTGTGAAACAAAATTACCTTTTAATATATCATTGGGTTAATATTATAAACATATATAAATATGTAAGAAACAAGAAAGACAAAAATTCCACCAAGTAAGTTGTTTTTTAATATGCAATATTGATACTGAATAGTGTAAATATATTAACTTTTCCATCGCGTATTGATACTATTTTAATAAATATTGACGGTTATTTTTAATATATATTCTACATATAGCGTTGTAGTTTTGCAAAATATTCATATTGCCACGGTAAAAACGTCACACCACTACAGTTCTAACCCACCCACCCACTCAAAACGTCAATTTGACGTTTTGCGTGGCAACTTGAATATGGACGTCGCCCCTAACTCATGTCTCATTATTGTAAATGTTGAAGAGTTAAAAAATTTGAGTCTAAAGTATAAATTTACGTTTACAATGATAAAATGTATTAATCTCTGCTAGTTTACATTAAATAGTTTACATTAAATAGCCCGTGATACACTGATACCTTTGTAGAAATTCTTGTTTCCTCTCTTTCCAGTCATTACACGACGACTTGCTCCTCGCACCAAATCACGAAGAACGTTCAGTGGCATATCTGATATATTCCCCTCTATACTTGAAAATTTTTTGAACAATTTACTTTTTATGCGACCAATGAAAAATTTACTTTTATATGAAATCAGTAACTACAAAAATGTTCATCTCGGACGCCATATTGAATTCTACCGCGCTGGGCACTGGTAGGGATGTAGCCTGCGAACAGGCTCTCAAGCTGAATTGAGAGCCTGCATCGATGACTAATGAATTTGAATATCTGCCCCGTAACGTTCGTTTTTCCAAATATGGAATGTCTATCCTTATATGGTGTTGTTTACAACTTTCGTGCAAACTAAATTTAGACCGTGCAAACTAAATTTAGACCTTACAGTTTATACTGTTTTTCGAAATATAAGATATTCAAGCAAAAGTTTAAATGTTTTAAATACTGTTTTCTCAAAACAGAACATTTCGTGCTTTGTGGTAAGATGGCCAAGACCAATTTGATCAGTTAATGTGTTTTTTATGCATAGTGCTTCAGCAGTTGACATATATAGAGCTCAGCGGAAACGTATAAATTATAGCATCTGACCAATGAGAATTTCGCGTCACGATTTGAGACGCAGATATTCAAATTCATTAGTCATCGATGCAGGCTCTCAATTCAGCTTGAGAGCCTGTTCGCAGGCTAGTAGGGATGGGCCGATATCGATACCAAATACTCGATACTATCGATACCAGGGTTTTGAACAAAAGTATCGATACTGGCAAGAAATATCGATTGTTTCGATACTTCTGAGCCTGCGATATTTTTTTCATTGTGGTCAGCGGACTAATCATGAAAATGATGCCAAAAAGCCTAAATAGGCGTAAATACTATCAAAGTAGTTCATTTTCTATGGTGCTTGATGGTCCACGGGCAGGATCAGAGTTTGTGGTTATGTTAGTTACAATCATGAAAATAAACGTGTTGAAAACGTATTCAACCAGCATGATTTTGGCGTCGAAGAAATGAAAATAATCTTTTCTTGTTGTGGTTGTTCGAGTTTGGAAAATATCGATATCGGTATCGATATCGAAAAAAAATGGCAAATATCGAGTAAATATCGTATCGAATGAAAAAGCTGGTATCGCCCATCCCTAGGCACTGGGACCAATATATCCGGCGTAGAAAGCGTACCCGCACCGCCTGCTAATTCGCAGGCAACTAGTACTGATCTGAATAATACTGGATCACTCATGTAAGTCCTTGCTGATTAATTAAAACACTTTTTAGATCTTTTTAGCTTCAGCCTCAAACCTAAATACGCAACCCAAGTACGTATTTCGCGCGAAGGGTCCTCAAGTTACCTTTCCATGTCCTGTCAAGTCTATGATGAATCAATCCAGTACAGCGTTCTTACAAGTCTGATGGAGAATTAATTTTAAATAATTGTTTAAAAAACATGCCGCATAGAAATCCACCCATTTCGAGGTTGACCCGCAGATGTACATCGAAGACGCAGCCTGCAGGCAGTCTAA